TAAAACTCTTTTTTTTAACCTTAATTAGAGTTAATCGTATTAATAAAATTGTGAATGAATGGACAATGAAGGAGGCTGTTTTCCAACCAGGCGGTCCAAGTGCCTAACACCTTCGCATGACCGTACTTAACTCTCTTACCCAGTCTCTGGTTAAAACCAAATTAGTCATTTCTTTGAAAAATGACTAGTTCGTGAATTTTTCCCCAAAGAGGTGGAGACTCCCAACATAAAGTTCTTACCAAAGTAAGAGCTATCTTTACAAAAATCCCCTTTTTAAAATAAGGTCGCCTATCTGAAGATGTTAAAATGAGTCTAATAAGAGAAAAAAAATTTTAGAAATTAAAATAAACCAAGCCCATTTTTCCTTTTAGTCATTCACAAAAGGCTATCCACCCTCAGGTGCAATTTCTTGGAAATCAGCCAAACAAATAATTATTGCTAATTCCACCATGGGTCAGAGTGTATTGCTCTAGAGTTGACTAGTAATAAGGTTGAGTGGTTAAAAAACTTGGCAAATATTTCATTGGAAAAAAAAACCAACACATTTTGTGTCTATATATTATGATTGTCAAGCAGCAATAGCAATTGCAAAGAATAAGACCTTTAATTGTAAGAATAGACATATTCATCTAAGAGATAATGTGGTCAAGCAACTGCAAAGAGATAGAATTATATCAGTTGACTTTGTGAAGTCAGAAGTGCATTTGGCCAATCCTCTAACAAAACGACTAGGAAGGAAATTAATAAATGAAACATCAAGGGGAATGGGACTACAACCAATTTAAGGAATCAACAACGATGGCAACTCAGCTTATGTTATTGTTGATCCCATGAATTAGGTTCATATGGGTAATAACAAGTCATTAGTTGATTTGTTAAGCACTATTAGATTATGTCCCTCCTATGGTGTAGATAGTGCAAAGAGTAAGGGTGAGTAAAACTCTTGATCTTATTCCATTTCATATGAGATTAATGGTAAAATCTCTAGAGCACTCATGAATAACTAGGCTCGCGCATGGCTTATTGGCGCACAACTGCATTGAACAACAGAATTGTAAGAGGTATAATATGATTAATGAGAATTCTTTGACTTATAAAATGAATATTTGGTTTATAGAAACATAAAGTTTCACTAAATATTCTGTAGGTCATTCTCATTTTTCTAGTTCTAGTTTGTAGTATTAAATATACTAAAATCGATGCATCATACCCGAATGCGAGAAAGAGAACCCATCAATTACCTTTGAATAGTCCTTTTGAAATATGTGAGGGATTGTTGTAAAACTATAATGTTGTTGACCATGATTTCAGCACCAGGCTCTGTGAAATTCTGCTATGGATCTAACGACGCGAGAATCAGCTCGAATCGGACATCGTTTGGGCCTCGAATGGACTCCCAGAAGCTTGAAAACCCATAAAATAAGCCATAAGGGCAGGACAGTGATTTACCCTGATTGGTACTGACCTACCCAGTTCTATTACCTATCACCTGCCTATGAGAATCAACTTACTCCCTCTATGCAGCCCTCACCAGTACTGGTGCTGACATGCTCGGTATCGAAAAGGAGCTTCAATAACATATAAGTTCAGCACTCTCCCCTCATTTTAAGCACCTCTTGTTGCTTGATCAAGCGCGTCTTAAGCATTTCGACTTTCACTCACACTTTGGTCTTCCTTAGACCATAACTAAAAATAATATGATATTGTAAGACTAATTGTGGTTCCTCGTGCCTTACCCTTGCTATTTGGAGAAAGACTCGACCTCCTTGGTTGTTTTACAAACATGGAGCTCCGATCAGGTCGTGTGACACACCCTAGGGTATATATCTAAACTCAACTTTGTCAATTAAGCTCGATCCGTTGGCATATAATATGCTTTAAGCATGGTCCATCCGGTAAAATTGTACAAAACTAGTTTTCAAGCAAAAGCCTAGTCCATTCGGCACCTTAAGCCCGGTCCGTTCGACACCCTATAAGCTCACTCTAAGAATGGCACGTTAAAACCCTACCATCATAATCGATGGTAGAACTTGTGCTACCCTGATCCTCATACAAACGAGGTACGAAGGAATACCTATGGATTTCAGCCTAAGTAGCAGGCCCCTGTCCAAACTAACTGGTCAGGGTCTAGAGGAATGTGTTGCACAGAATCCTTGATAAACGAGGCTAGGGTTAGGCTCTCCTCCAAATTACATACTTTTTCAATTATTTATGCTTTAATGTTTGTCTATAATTGCCATGCATTATTAGTATGATCATACATCGATAAAATGACATTCATGTAAAACACTATTTTGATTTCTTGATTAAACCCCAAACCACGAGATTCATACAGAAAGAAGCTAAAAACCTAGTCCCGAAACCTAATGTTTTAAGGCTAGTGCATTTTATCCATTATGGCAAACTAAATTGGAGTCGATCACGAGCTTCTTTCCTAAATCATTCCCCGAAAACAAAAACAAATTAAGGTGGCGACTCTAAACACATTACACACCTGTTAAAGTGCTCCAAAGAGCCAATCCGACACACATAGGCGCTAAACTGAGCCATAATCAAATAAAAAGGAAACATAAGGAGTTCCTACCAATTCTGTGAAAAATCGCCCAATTGGCCCGTTTGGTTAGATTTCGTCCTTTCGGATCTTTTCAATGGCGCTTGGGAGGGGACGCACAAATGTATTTTCAAGAGGGACATTGTCCCACATTAGATATGTATATCACTTTTCTTTAGTTTGTAATTAGTTTCTTATAGGGTATCCCCCCCCCCCTCGGGCCTTGCACAAGTTGAATGTGAGACCCAGTCTAAGCAAATATTTTACATCTTACAGCTTATCTATGCTAGTCCTATTTTGACTTTTTAAAAGCATATTTTTTATGTCCTTGATTTTCCTCAACGTTTATTTTTTATTTTTTTGATTTTCCTCAATGTTTTATTTATTAACCGTTTGATACGTTTCTATAAATACCCCGTTATATAGTCTTTGGAAAAGATGAAAGCATTACAGTTCTCGTTCTTTCTTCTTTCTTCTTCTACAGTTCTCGTTCTTTCCTCTTTTTTCTTCAGTTGGGTTATTATATTTTCTGCTGCTCCTACTTCCTATTGATTTTAGAAGAGCTTATTAAATCATGTGGGATACATCCTGTGTGGGTGAATTGTCTTAAAGGACAGTGTTTTTAAACACGCCTCAAGCTACAGTAGCTATTGATTATTTAACCAACAAAAATATTCTAGGGTATTTGTATTTCATTTCATATTTTTGATGACTGATTTATGAAAATTCTAACACAAGACATCTAATCATTGTATAACCAATTCACTCCCAAATTGAAAGGGTTGTATTCCAAACCTAAAGTCCAATTAAATTAAATTAGTGCTTTTTTTTTATTAGGATATCTAGTTGGTCAAGTTCATATTATAATTGGGTAAACCATTACCAACACCCTAAACTTTGAGAGTTATTATAATTGCACCCCAAAATGAACTTAACCTCCCAAACACCCCAATTTTAAACTTATGTCACAAATTACACCCTAATTATAAAATTGGTCAAAGTCGAGATTAAAAAATAATAAATGTAGGTCCTGGGTGAGTTAGCTAACTTAAAACGCATAGTTTTAACATTATCAAGCTGAGTTAATAATCAGCTGAATGAAAAAAATATTATAGATGATTACTAACAGCATCGGCGAGGAGATAGAGGTGGAGGAGGGAAGTGGCTTGAGGGGATCAAGGAAAGCCAAGAGAGAGCAACTGCTTGGATGGGCACCAAGTGGGTTTGAATCTTGTAAAACTCGAACCCGATTAAGTGTGGCTTCGATCTTATAAAATAGAAGTAGTCCTTTCGGTGATTACTGATGCACTAGTGGAACCAAGCCGATTCTTGAGGATCCTGTTATGATGTATGTCAGCGATGAGATGGAGCGGTTTATGGTAAGTACGAAGTTGCTTAACCACCCAATATTCATTGACCTTTCTAAATTTGACTATTTATTTTCTCCTTTTAATTTCTTTTTCTTTATTGTGTAGATCCTTGAGATATATATATATATATGACATCAAGAGATCTCTTAGTTCTATCTATAAATATGTTTTTTGTGGCCTATTACACAGATCACAGTCACTTTTGAATGTTAAAGTGTTTTTATTTTCCAATGCTATTTTTTTTTCCTTTATAAAATCAAGGTATGAAGCTTCACTTAATTATATATATTCTCTTTTTTTTTTGCCCTGATTTGATTTGAATTTTACTTGAACAATTCGAAATCTATCTATTTGTTTGCACAGGGTGGAGGAAGAGAATAGCCTATTTGGTTTGTAAAGGAAAAAAAAATTCTCAGCTGCTTTAAACACTGCGTTTTACTGTAGCTAAATTTATATTGGGTTAGCTAACTCATGTGGGGCCCACATTTATTATTTTTTAATCTCAATTTTGACTTATTTTATAATTAGGGTGTAATTGTGACGTACGTTTGAAATTGGGGTATCTGAGGATTAAGTTCATTTTGGGGTGCAATTGTAACAACTCATATGGTTTGGGGTATTAGGAATGGTTTAGCCTATTATAATCTCAACTAATTAAACCACTATTAATATTCATCTTGGCATATCACATCTTTTACGTCATGTCATTTCATGCATTAAATTATTTATTTTAGAGTTTGAATATGCTTTGGTATGATTGATTATGATTTAAATATGATTTATAATGAATTAGTTGATCCAATATGATTTGTGCCCATATAGATGAATTATGACGTCATAAATTATTTTAGTAAAATTAAATAATGTGTAGATAATTAATATTATGGCATGACATGTGTAAATATATAGTTTGTATTGTGTGTAGTTAGAATTGGTACAATGTCTAATTCTAGCTTTGGGATGAAAGGAACCTAAGACAATCTTAGCCCTCCATTTGTAAGACTACTTGACCAAGTCAAATTGTCTGTACATAAAGACAAATTACCACCGTAAGCCCTTGGGTGAGATTTTAAGATGTAATCTCCACTTATTCATTTGGAGAAAAGATCAAAACAGCAAAAACTATCTAAAACTTAACCTAAAAAATTTGCAACACTATTCATCTTCTTCCTTGGAAATCATAGCCACCCATCTCTCTCTCCCTCTTTCTCTTTTCCACTTTCTTCATAACACACACAAAATCTCCAGCTCAAGCAAGAATATATGCATACCTATGATAAGGAGATGGTTTCTTTCATCTAAACTTGAGTTTCTATTATTTTGGTAAGCTTTCTTTGACTAAAATCTATTCTACATCTTCCTCTCTCATCTAAAATCTTAATGATTTTTCAATTTAAGGCTACAGATAAGTTCTAATGCATTTATTAATGTTATTCATGTATTTAAATTTCATTTTAATAAGTCTATGTATTTATTTTAGATTTTTCTTTTTTACGTCCAAGAATAAGGGAAAAGAGGTGGTTAAAGCATAATGTTTTGAGGTTTGTATTTATGAAACCTATTTAGACATTCAGATATTAATCTTACTTGATGAACTTTTTGATGATATAAAACATGAGTTTAATTTATAAAAATTGATGCTTGATGAGTATATAATATGATTTGTGCTTTAGAATGATTTTGTGTTCATGAAAATTTTAAGCCATGACCGAACAAGGGAGCTGCTGACTCCCCTTGTTCATGTGTATATTTTATTTATTTTTACTTGATATCTTGATTAATATGTTGGAATAATATTATATGTTGATTATTGAATGATTTGGTGAAGATTTGGTGTGTAATTTGTGCTACAGCGAGCCATGCATGCCATTTAAATTTATGTTGTGTGCTATTTTGATTTGTGATTTATTAATTGATATTGGTGATTAATGCTATTTATTTTGATATTTTTTTAATTAAAAAATTGATTTATGCCTTAATTCTGCAAATTGAACCACTTGTGGGCTAATTGGATATTTTCCAAATTGTATAGACTGTTTTGAGACATTTTCCAAGGAATTGGCAATATTTTCCTAAGCTTGGAGGAGTTATGAAATAAATTTGATGAAATATTGATTAATTAAGGATGATTAAGGACCAAATTAAGTAATTAATTGGGAAATTACATTAAGAAAAAATTATGATTTTATCCATTAGTTTTGCTTATATTAACTAGCGTACCCTCATATTTCTAGAAATATACTAAATATTCCTGTATTTTAACCCGTTAAACCAAGTTGCACTTTTGTCCAAAAAAAGACCCATTTTTCTCATTAATTGAACTTAAAATGACCTAAATAACCTTTTTACAATTAGAAAAAAGACACAAAACGAAAGAGGGGAGGGAAAGATAGTGGCGGTTGGTGTCTTTACAGTTTCCTACTCAAAGAATCCATCTTGACATTGAGGAAGAATCGATTTGAAGTTGCTTATCTATCGTTAATGATGTCTTTGAAGTGATTTTTGAATCGCAGTGTTGTTTTCAACTGAAAGTGAAGGAAGCTTTGGAACTCTTCAGTCACTCTAGTTTCGCACTCGAAAGCCCCATACATGTTCATTTTCTATCACAAAGTGTACCTGTGACGATTTTTAGTTTTATTTTGCATGAAGCTATGATTTTCATCTCTGTAAACTCTTTTTATGTCATTTTTTATTGTTGTTGAAGTTTACGATTTTGAGGTAAGGTTCTCTTATTTTTGTTTAAAGAAAAATTGAATGGTCTTGGTTGATTTTATTTAAGAAAAACAGTTTTCTTTATTAGACCCATTCATTGATCCTCGGAAAAAAATGTCTCTTACATTGATAGGAGTTTTATTTTCGAGTCGCCGCCTCTTTAGGGAAAATTCTCAAGCCAATCGATTATTTGGAATCGATTAACTCAGTTTTAAACCAGAGACTGGATAAGGGAGTTAGGTACGGTATTAGGAAGGTATTAGACACCGGGACTACCTGGTTAAACCGGCCTCCTTTTTATCCATTAATTCATAATGATTAATAATAAGATTAACTTAAATTGAGGTGTAAAATGAGTTTTAATACAATTTTAGGAAACCATGGCAATCATGCATATAATCTCATACATAAAACATAAATTATACCATCCAAGGAAGGGGGAAGAGGAGAAAAGAGTACAACCCCATCCCTAAAATACAATCTACCCAGTAACCCTCCAAATTTCTCAAATCCCCTTAATTAATTACAAATAAGCAATAATACGAATTGAGGAGATTGAGTTTTTCCTTCTTTTCCACAAAAGGAAAATCGTCGTCGAATAGAACGAGATTGGTTGATTTTATTTAATAAAGTGGTTTTCTCTTTATTAAAACCATTTATTAATCCTTAGAAATGGCAATCATTTTGAAAAGGGATTGTAAGAAGATCTCTTACATTGGTAAGAGTTTTTAATTTTGGAGTCGACACCCTCTTTAGGAAAAATTCTAGAATTAGTCGATTCTTTGAAATTGACTAACTTGATTTTAAATCAAAGATTCGATAGTTAGGTACAATATTGGGAGGGTGTTAGACACCCATATAGCCCGATTAAACTGCCTTCCTCATTGTCCATTAATTCACAATGATTTAATAATAATATTAACTAGAATTGAGATGTAAAACATTTTTTTTTTAGTGAAATTTTGAAATCATGTCAATCATGCAAATTAGTAAAACACATAAAAACATAAATTAAAGCATCCACAAGAAAGGGAGGGAGGAGAAAAGAATACAACCAATCTCTTAGAATACAATCTACCTTTGACTCTCTCAAGATTTCCCAAATCCTAATTAAAACTAAAACTAAAACAATAAAGAATCATCCATACAACACAAACACAACACATGTAATATAAACAGAAACATAAATCCAGCACAGAATCCATATAACATTCATTCATTCAACAAATGATTAAATGATGCATGCTTATGTTCAAGGATTAATGAATAATGTGTTAGTACAACAGTAATCATAAGACCATTAGTAAAAGAGCATAAACTTAAAGGACAAAATATAAAAAAATGGTTAAAATAAATAACATTGAATTAAAAGTAACTAATTTAAAGATTAATACAAGATTAAAGTTCAAGATTTTAATGTTCATCATGAATGATGAACAAAAATGAAAAATATTTGGACTCGGTTGTTACTACATTCACTAATTCATCGAGACTGAAAATTTCTAAAGCCAATGACCCTGGACAGATAATTAGTAATCAGGATAGGGAGGGCAAGCTGAAGCAATGAGGCCATCTCCCTTGGTTCCATGCAAAAGTGTAATATATTTTTTAAATTAAAATTTGGGATATACCTTTATGTTATAATTCTGTGTTTTAGGTATCATTTCCTCTAGATATAAATATAGTCATGCTTCTTCGGTACAATAAATGATTGGGCATTTGGAAATCATGTAGAATTATTGAAGGTATCCACATTTTGATAATTTGGTTTTTGGAACGAGATAAATTCGGTGTGTAAAATTCTCAATTCGATATGAAAGCTGTAAATTCTTGGTTTTCAAAAAATGATTTTCAAATTTAGCGACGTCACTCTACTAGCATCGCCTATTTGGAATTATTAAGGGATATTGTGATGGCTTTGTCGTTGGCCTAACCATCCTTATTGTTGATTATTTTTAGTGATAAAATTGGGAAATATAGAGGTTGATATATGGTGGATTAAATGCTATTTTACAATTATCTTGATACTCTTTTTTCCCTCCAATTCAAAAAAAAATTGAGCCATGTATTTGGAAATGCCTTTAATGGCTAGCTATTAAAGGTATAATGTAAAATGGATCCAACTTTGTCCTTTGGGCTAAGGACATATAGGTAAATTCATTTCCAAAATTGACTAGGGATTTGGTCTTTCAGATTGCTGTTAATTTTTGAGGACATTATATTCGGCAGGATTTGGTCAATTTCGGGCATATATTTATATAATCCACCTATTAGCTTGGTTAGTTGAGTTCCTATCTGAAATTACAAACATTATGGGATATTGAAATCTACTATATGATTGGTAATATTCTTAGGCCACGGTCGGGTAAATTGAATTGATATAAAAAGAGATCCAAACACTTTTCACCTTAGTAAATAATTAATTGGGAGTGGGATTCAGGAAAATTTCAAAACTATTAAAGATATATACATATTCCTAAATAGAGTATATAATCCGGGCTAAAGGTTTTAGTTATAGTTGTCTCTACTATTTTTTTATAAGGTCAAATACAAGCAAAGAATACCCTCTAGTAACTTCTAGAAATATATCAATGCTCTTAAATTATGAAGCTTCATACTGTATTTTTTAACTTCGGTCATACAGTAATATCAATTTTAAACAATTCACGTTCTTTGGTCAACCTAGATCACAATTTGAGATCCATAAAAGGAATGTTACCATCAACTGATCATGAATATAACTTTTGTTTCGTTCTTCTACTCTAAATGAAATTTCAAGGAGCAAGGTTTCTGACAAACTTAAGGATAATAGATCCTAAATATCACACCTTTTTGTAAAAACGAAAAATTTAGTGATAAGGAGTCTAATCAACCAAAAAACATAGTATTAGGGAAGAGAGAGGGAGAAAAGTTTTGACTTAAGAGTTTATGCGCGGCTAAACCTAGGTGTCTCTTTTTAGACAGTTATGTCCTAACCTACCAACACAACATAGGAGGATTTCTCGGTATTGACACTTCCCTCGATGGAACGAAATAGGATACGAATTTGAAAGTTGGCCTTATTTTCAGTAAGAATTCGTTCAAATCAAGATTTTCCTACAGATAGTCCCCTTATGCTGATACGTGATATTTTCTAGAAAGGGTATCGACAAGTATGAGTGGTAGATTCTTCAATCTGAGAAAAGTGGGAAAACAAGGAGAGAGGGCACGGTTTGGAAAAATTATCGTATACAAGATCTTACGATCTACGATTGGTATCAGTCTCATACTTCACAGAGAAAAGCCCCATAAACAGGGGTTGAAATTTTTTCTTATTTTACTAATCAAAACTTACGTAAAGTGATCTTTCCATTAGGTCCTTGTGACGATTTTTTTTAGTTTTTTATTTTGCATGAAGCTATGATTTTTCAAATCTTCTGTAAACTCTTTTTTATGGTCAATTTTTTATTATTGTTTGTTGAAGTTTACGATTTTAGGTAAGGTTCTCTTATTTTTGTTTAAAGAAAAAATTGAATGTCTTGGTTGATTTTATTTAAGAAAAACAGTTTTCTTTTATTAGACCCATTCAATTGATTCCCTCAGGAAAAAAATGTCTCTTACATTGATTAGGAAGTTTTATTTCGAGTCGCCGCCTCTTTAGGGAAATTCTCTAAGCCAATGCATTATTTGGAATCGATTAACTTTCAGTTTAAAAACCTAGAGACTGGATAAGGGAGTTATGGGTACGGTATTAGGAAGGTATTAGACACCACGGGATCTACCTGGTTTTAAAACCGGCCTCCTTTTTCTCCATTACATTCCCATAATGGATTAATAATAAGATTTAACTTAAAATTGAGGTCGTTAAATGAGTTTTTTATACAATTTTAATGGAAACATGGCAATCATGCATATTAATCCTCATACATACAAACATAAATTTACCATCAAGGAAGGGGAAGAGGAGAAAAGAGCTACAACACCCATCCCCTAAAATACAATCTAACCCAAGTAACCCTCCAATTTGCCTCAAATCCCTTAATTAATTACAAATAAGCCAATAATACGAAATTGAGGAGCATTGAGTTTTTTCCTTCTTTTCCCACAAAAGGAAAAATCGTCGTCGAATAGAACGAGATTGGTTGAATTTTATTTAAATAAAAGTGGGTTTTCTCTTTATTAAAACCATTTATTAATCCTTAGCAAATTGGCAATCATTTTGAAAAGGGATTGTAAAGAAAAGATCTCTTACATTGGTAAGAGTTTTTAATTTTGGAGTCGACAACCCTCTTGTTAGGGAAAAATTCTAGAATTCAGTCCGATTCTTTTGAAATTGACTAACTTGAATTTTAAATCAAAAGATTTCGAATAGTATAGTGTTACAATATTGGGCAGTTTGCCCGTGTTTCACCAGACTTATCCCATATTATATGAAAGACATTACGAATAATAAACTTTTGCTCAGATTCACATGATTCGGATTTGCTTTTTCACGATTTTTATGTTTATATATCACACATAAAAATGATTATTATAATAATAATAATTAACCCCATATTAAATCACGAAAAATTGCAGAAACCTTTGTAATAAGTGACAATTAAATGGGGTTTATTGTTTAGCTGTTATAAATCTTAAGATTAAAATGCGGATGTATCATCTTATTCTTATAAAGGCCTTCATTTAAGCATATTGGACGCCTAAACACATAAAACAACATAATAATTAATTAGCTTTCGTCTACCACCACGAATATTGAGGAAAGGGAGTTGAAAAATACAGATTAGATAACGATACCCAGGTCCTATCTACGAGATTCACAATATTCCCAAACTTTATCCTTGTATGACCTCATCAAAGGATCAAAGATTTTAATCCACAAAATAACTTCGTCTAAATTAATTACACTAAACACTATATAATCCACACAAGACATGCATCACTATTTGGGAAACCACACAACAAAACACAACATTAGTAACTGGAAATAGGTAATGGAATCCCAATTGGAAAACCTCATAATCTCTA